GGCTGAGATAATTTTCCTCTCTGCCTTCAGTCTTTAAACTGATCATTTCCAGTCCTTCAGTGAAGCCAATTTTGGGTTTTTAAACCTGTCCACACCGTCCAGTGACCCTCTCCGAGATGACATCCATTTTGCGCACTGACGCCGGGGACACACCGGCCGCGGAAGCGCCGAGAAGCGAATCGCTCACGAAATTCGGCCGCTGATTGCCGCTCCTCAGTTCAGATCAGACGCGCCCCAGTCGAGGCGCGCTTCGGCTCAGCTGTAGTTCTTCTTTTAAACACTTGGTGTCCTCCATTTCCTCTCTGCCTTTTCTCAGCTCTTTTCCTCTACGTTTGAGTGTTTGTACGTGTGTGTGCGTGCGTGTGTGTGCGTGCGTGCGTGCGTGCGTGTGTGTGTGTGTGTGTGTGTGTGTGTGAGTGTGTGAGTGTGTGTGTGTGTGCGTGTGCGTGTGTGTGTGTGTGTGTGTGTGTGTGAACCTATAGTATGAGCGCGGCTTGTCTGCAGCTCACCGCTCCCCCAGGGGATGGGTCAAATGTGGAGAATAAATTTCGCACACACACCTGTGTGTGTGACAACTAATGGGACTTTAACTTTTATGAGTTGTTTCTGCCAGTTGAATCTCTTGGAACCCGCTCCAATTCTGCAGCTGTATCCTAGCAGTTTCTTCTGAAATGGGTACGTAAATAATCGTGTTTTTCGGGGGTCGTACAGCTCCTTGTGTTTCTCAACTTCCATAATTAATTTAAAGTCATCCATCTTAACTGCTTGCCTCAGACTTTCTGCCTCTCTGTCCTGTTTGCTCCGGTGAAAAGACACCCAAAACCACACCCCCTTCACGTGGTCACACACACACACAAGTTCGATGTGTGTGTGTGTGTTCGTGTGGTTTTTCTGCAGTGTCTGATTACACATTTGACTATTGCGGGATTTTATTTTGAAATGTTTTATTTTGTTAACTTTACCGGCCTGCCTCTTATGTCTAGGTTTGACTTCCTGGCAGAATTGACGCGATTCACCCGCGGCTCGCGAAAAAGATAGAGCCGACGCCGAAATGATCGCTGCACAGCACGGGCTGGAGCGCCGGCGCGAGGCGATTCGCGGCGCTTTGGCGGCCCATGTGGTCTATAGAATAGCTTAACAAGGGCGCCAAATGAAGGCAGTCCTATTTTCGCGGCGCTTCCGCAGCCGGTGTGTCCCCGGCGTAATGCCGGTATCGCAGCTAGAACATTGTCCAGCTTCCGATTCACCTCGAGTAGCGTCCCAGTCTGTGAAGTCTCCACAAAGACGGTGCTTTCCGTCGGTGCGGGGCGGGCGATCTCCAATCGCTCCCGACTTCCCAAATTTCCAGAAAACCAGATATCCTCCCACTCCAATCAGGAGAAATCCAGTGATCATCAGACCAAATATCCACACGTCTTCAGGCCATTTTACCATTTACCATGATATAGGTCACCATCTCTCCATCTATCTAGGTACATCTGAGATCAGTACGTTAGAGGATTTCTAACACACACACACACACACACACACACACACACACACATGAAAAGGGTTTGGGCTAAAACATTAGTCCAGATAGCTGTGAGGTAGCCAACAGATGGAGACAGCCTGCTACATCTGCTCTTCCTTCATAAATGACGTGTCTTTCCTTGGGTGGTGCAGATGGATCGATTACCTTTAAAAGGATTTCCTTCAAACACTTTAACACATTTTAAAATACACTGACACGGCGGATGGGCAATCAAAAACACATTTTATAAAACATTTTTAATTGCTGCTGCAAAATGCAATGAAATCCACTAACTGCAGAATACCCCTCCAGCAGATGTTTGTGGAAAAAGATGATCTTCCAGTCCAACCCCATCTTACAACAGAACGTGTACGTGGGACGTGATGTAATCGACACGTTTTAATAATGCATTTCTTTATTTTTGCCAAGCCCTAAATCAAATTGCAGACGAGTGTTGTTAGCATGCTAGCTCTTATTCAGTGATTCAGTTGTCTAACCTCCATTTCTTTTAAAACTTTCTTAACATTGTGGTTGTCAACATATCAGAATTAGCTCATTCATTTGTCAGAGACATAAAAGTAAAAGCGATCAGGGAAAACCTGCAGAACCAACACCTTGGATGCAGCTCTGTGCCGCCAGCCGACCGCTCCAGGACGGTACATGGATGATTCCAGTTTGGGTCGGTGACAACACAACGTTACGCCTCTCAGCAGAGCACTTCTCCGTAATGATCCACAAGCAGAACAGCTCCCTTCGCATTAAACAGCCCATTACCAGACATTGATTGCAGTTAACACCAACGTCAGACCATATTAATCGTTCCATCCTTCCGCTCTGGTGCCGGTGCACAGATCAGAAACCGAGTGCTTATCTGGGATCGTTTAACAAGGTTTGAAGAAGAAGGGGGATTTCTGCCAGTGTGTATAACATCACACCTGCTGAGTGTAGTTAGGCTGATGGGAAATGAGGGTTGGGATGTTGAATAGAAGGGATGGGGTGAGGTGTTTTGGTGCTAACAAGGCAAACAAAAGTGCAGTGAGATAAAACCTTGGCCCGGCAAGGTCATCCAAGTCCTGGCTGCTTGCATGTCTTCATTTGGAGGCAAAAAGCAACACTTTTCACAAGCAAACACACGAGGAATGCTAGCAGAAATGAGAGGGTGAACCTTTAGCTGAAGGCCTATCTAATCTCCACAAAATGACCGTTTCATTTTAGAAAATAAATCCTTTGACATTGTCTGGTGTTCAGAGTTCACATTTTAAGGAAACTGCGAGTACTAATATTTAACAGCAGGTGGCAGAGTCGTGCTGTTCGGTGGTGACTAAAACCTCAACAATCGCCTGATTGTGTTCGTCTCACAACATGTGCCATCCTTTTTAGGCTCCGTGAACTAAATCAAAATGTACTTTTGACATTTATGCATAAGTTTATTCACATTCACGCTGATGAAGTAAACCTAAACTTCCAGCTACTTAATAAGTAGAGACATGGATAGGTACTGTCATGGTCTGCGTCAGCCCCTTCCTTATGTGCCTCCTGATGTTTCTCCATCCCTCTCTCGATTCCCTTCTGTGTCTCATAGCGCCCTCATGTGTCCTTTGTCTGCATCTCAATTATGTGTCTTATGTTTGTAGCCCTTTAAAGTCTATTCCTCCCAGGTCCTGTGTCATTCATTCATCCCCAGCCCTCCAGGTCTTCCTTCACGTTCTGTAGCTCCAGCCTCTTTGTCCCCTGCTCAGTGCTTGTGTGTGTGTGTGTGTGTGTGTGTATGTCCTTCCCTCAGTCTTAGGTTTAGATTTATGTTTTAGGTTTATCTGCCCTCCGCTGGTTCTGTTTACCCCATTTAGATCATTTGTGTCACCTGCCTTCCCTCCAGCCCTCACTCCACGCACCTGCTTCCTGTTTCCTTAATTGTTCTCCATGTGTATATAAGCCTTGTCTTGTCACTCTGTGGTTGTTGGTTCATTGTCTTGGTCAGCGTTGTTTTTGTCTTAGTCTCCAGATTCCAGTCTCTAAGACCTAGTCCACACGTAGCCGGGTTTTTCTAAAACGAATATCCGCCCCTCCAAAAACTTGCATCCACACCACCGCGTTTTAAAAACAATCTCTGTCCACACGTACCCGGATAAATACGTTGTTAAGGACATGCCAGACCTGTAGGTGGCAGTACTTCCCCCGTTCTTAACCTCGTCCTTCGTCTGTGGTCTTCCGCAAGGAGCAGTAATTCCTCTTGCAAACACAAACAAGCAAAAAGCGCTTGGACGATTGATAAAGCGAGCGCAGCTCTGAGGGCATCCATGCTGTCGGCTAGTGTAAACACAGGTCGCACACGTGATGTCAGCATTTTTTTGTCGCGGAAAGTGACGTTGCGGACCTTAAAACTCCGGTTTTGTCCGTCCACACGCAGACACCCAAAACGGAGAAAACGCAGATCTTCGCTTTGGCCGGAGTTTTTAAAAAGATCCGTTTTCGTGTGAAAAAACTCCGTTTTCATGTGGATGACAGGCCAAAACGTAGAAAAATATCTACGTTTTGGCAGATCCCCGGCTACGTGTGGACAGGGCCTTAGTCTCTGCTCAGAAGGTGAGCTTTTGGTTTTTGGATCTGAGTTTAGTTATTAGGTTTTTGTCTTCGCCTCTTGGATTTTTGGTTCTCCTCCTAAATAAAGTATTTTTACTTTTCAACCGCTCCTGCCCGTGTGTTCTGGATTTCCTGCACCTTGGGTCCAAACCTCCTGCTCTCCGCGTGACAGAAACCACTGCTATAAAAGCAGAAAAGAGCTGCTGCAGGAGACCACACGTTCTAGCAGGGAGGCAGTGCCGATGCTTAGAGAAAGAACAGTGTTGGTAATAGTGCTGGAAGCGGTGCCAGTGCCCAGCTGCTGGTGCTGTGGGGGTTCTGATTGAGAACTGGAAGTGGAGTTGGCACAAGAACCACCCCAGTGGTGACTGGGGGGGTCAAACAAACACAGAAGGATCGGATTAGCTGCTGTGAAAGGTTGCAAACACCTGAACAGTCCAACACCAACTTTAGAAAAATCCTCCATATTTATTCAGTTTTCAAGGCTGAACTTATATGTTTGTGATGCATCTATTATCCTATTTCTTTATTTTATTGTTGTCTCCATCAGCCTGCTGGGGACGACTGCAGAAAATCTGCCTGCTGCGGGTTTTACCCACATCCATTTATATTGGTTTTCCCTGTTAAGATAAACAAGGGAAATTAAATGCTAAATAATAAAGGCACATGGTTGTCTTTTAGTATTTCTCACCACACTGGTGAATATGGGCCCCAGCCAGGGAAGGTCAATTACAGGGGAGCTAGGGGGAGCCCGGCTCCCCTGAAAGAATGATTTCCCCTGGATCGTCACGTGAGGTCTTCATGTGAAAGGTTTGATAAAGGTCTGTTATTTTCAACCTATAATCCGTCAATAAATCTGAGTAATCAACACTGAAAGAAACCTGTGGGCTACAGCACAACTTCAGGGTACCTGCTAATAGCCAAGCTGAGCTCGTCCAGACGTCTCACATCTGTGGTGGAGCTGTTGTCCAGTTTGGACAGGGTGTCCATCCTCTTCAGAATCACCTCCAGCATGTCACTGATCTTCCTCAGCACGCCGCGTGACTCCACTCCTCCCAGCACTGAGCAGAGACAGATGTGGAAGACACAACAGGAGGTAAATGGAAGGCTTGGTCAGTGAGAAACGCACCAAACGACACGCTCGCTAATCAGAAAGTCTGCTGCTCCTCTGCCTCTCCAAATGTAGATGCTTTGGGCTCCATTTTTGTTCATAGAGAGTAAACTCCATGTGCTTCATTACAGAGAAGATTAAAATCAAGGTCCCCTCTGTTGGGCACCAACGTCCTCGAATTAACGAGTTTGAAAATCTGAACCCAGCATTTGCTGTGTTCAGATTTTCTGCCTTCAGAGCTTTCCCTACAAAGGATGAGAGAGGTTTATGTAACGACGCCTTTAGTTCATTTCATTCTAAAGCTTCAACAGAGCACAAACCATTTACATTTCTTTGAAACTACAAAAACAAACTTAAACCCATTCCCCATCGGCGTAGCCGTGTGAGGCTAGCTCCTTCTCTCTTGAGCCTGTCTTACATTCCTCATTTTAAAGTCTAAGAGCTAATGGTTGGATTATGTCGGTGCTTAACCTGCACATCCTCAGGCTGATCTCCTCTGACCGTGGCGGTATGATCATCTCTTTTCATAAGCTAAGGATCTCCAGGTCAGACAGCCAGACACTCTGGAGTCTCTGGGCTTATTTCTATATCCTTTCTTCTGATGTGATGGCACACGGATGCTATTTCCACAAAGATTATGGGTTCTGAAAACACACGGCATAATCACCATGAGGCACTTGGTTTATTTCTGTCACCTGACTTCAAGAAGTGGGAATTAAAACACTGAAATACGTTGGGTTTGCAAAAATTCTAATGCCAGCTAAAATATGACCGATTTCTAAAAGGCTGCATTTTAGGAAATGACCTATTTTTGTGTTGTGTTAGGCCTGGTTGGTCTGGTGCAGAAATCAAACAGAACACACTCTTTCACAAAGACAAGTCACACGATTTAAATGGTCACAGAGAGTGAAAATCGAACCATTGAGAAATAAATGATGGCTCAATTAGCTGACAAAAGCCAACTCCGTCATGGGTGGTGGGGTCTGTTCTGCTCATTGTGTCGTGGCTTTGAGGTTTTATTGTATTTGGTTTGACTTTGTCGGCCGTATTCTCCTTGGGTGCCAAGGTTAGATTCCCGTTCTGTTGTTAGTCTGCCTTCAGTCCCTCTGTGTTTGCTGCCTACTGCAGCTGCCGGTGATCCGCTGGCCGACCAGAGACTTCAGCGCCTGCTCCTGACTGGGAGATCAGACTTAAACGTGATAGTGAGGGACAGTGTGACGCATGGTAAACGCTACAGTTTAGCCAAAAATGTAATCATTGGACCTAAAAAACACAATCAAACAGACTTAATAGCTTATTGAGTTTGAAATTATTGTGAATTAAATCACGTGTTTTGTTTTTCTAATCCAGTTTATAAGTTACTCTACTTTTGTTGGAACTAAACCTGACCAAAATGTGTAGATTAGTAAGCACTTCACATGGCTTTTAATTCTGCTGTTGTGTCCTTGAGCAAGACGCTTTACCGACTGTGCCTGCTGGTGGTGGTAAGTGGGGCTGGTGGCGCCTGTGGACGGCAGCCTTGCCTCTGTCAGTGCGCCCCAGGGCAGCTGTGGCTACAATGTAGCTCATCACCACCAGTGTGAATGGGCGACTGACTGACTGTGTTGTAAAGCACCTTGGGGGGTCCCAGGACTCTAGAAGGTGTTATATCAAATACAGGCCATTTACCATTTATCTGGCTTGACACCACACTTTCATTAGAAAATCACGTTGGTTCATTACTTTCTCAAGTCAAGTCAAGAATTGGGTTTCTATAGCAACAGTTCGTCCTTTACTCATTCTGCAAAACAAGCTTAGGTCAAAATGACAATCCGTCCCATTTTAGATTACGGTGGCATCGCTTATAGCAGTGGTTCCCAACCTTTTTCCCAAGGGACCCCGTTTTTTACCAGTCAAATTTTTGACGACCCCCTCCCATTCTCTCTTCCAGTACAAACATTATTAAGAAATGATAAAATTGTTCAAGCACATTTTAATATGCTTTGATTCAATAGATAACAGTAATAGTAGGCTCCAGTACAGAACAAAGTCATTAACAAAACCAAACACAGTTTGTATTACTTTTCTGAACACGTTGTTTCTTGTAAACACCGATAAATCAATCATTCCTTTCAATAAACGTTTGACACATAAAAAATACACTGAGCAAAATGTACTTAAATGTGTATATTACTGTTTATACTAGATTATTTACTGTAAAGGCTGTGATTAATCAACCAGTCCTATCTTTAATGAACTTTTGACACTTGAAAATAAAACAGTGAGCTGAGCAAAATGTTCTTAAAAGTGTGTTAATTTTTCTGTACTAATTATTTCCTGTCTTAATATCAGTAAACTTTTCACTCAGGAAAAAAAGTGACCAAAATGTAGGCTATAAACAAGTAATAAATGAAGTTTTAACCCCCTTAAAGTGGAGAGGTCCTGGCGACCCACTGAGAGGCTTTGGCGCCCCCTTGTGGGGGTCGGAACCCCCAGGTTAGGAACCACTGGCTTATAGGACTGCTCCCAAAAACTTCTACATAAACTCGTCATTTATTTCTCAGCAATCCGTTTCACCACGGTGCCCCGTTCACTACTCATCATTGTGATCTGTACTCACTCGTTAACTGGCCATCACTCCATTCCCGCACGTTGTTACATTGGTATCGGTTTATATACAAAATAATCATCGGTAGAACATCATCATATCTGCGCTCATTACTCAACACTTCCAATAAGTAACTTCATCTCTGCGGTTATTCCAAATAGAAGAAACGAACGCGCTCTAAAGTTTGGCTTCCCTTCACTAAATGTGATGGGCTGTTGGGTGACGATGAAACCAGCGACAACAATCTGAGTATGAGGCATCTTAATCTGCTCCAGCAGCAAAATGCACTGTTTAAGATAATGCTAGCTTGATGGTTTAGTTTTTGTTTACATAGCTAACGGTGCGTTCACTTTCTTGTCGGAAATTCCAACTTCCGAGTAGGAAAAATAAACGGTTTGAAAATGAACGGCAAAAGGAATGAAGATACACAGTAAATTTAGTTCACAGCAAAGATTTTTGTTTCAGTGTAATTTGCAGTTTATAAAACTACAAGAAGCCACCATCACACAGTTTATAAAACTACAAGAAGCCACCACCTCACAGTTTATAAAACTACAAGAAGCCACCACCACACAGTTCATAAAACTACAAGAAGCCAGCATCACACAGTTTATAAAACTACAAGAAGCCACCACCACACAGTTTATAAAACTACAAGAAGCCACCATCACACAGTTTATAAAACTACAAGAAGCCACCACCACACAGTTTATAAAACTACAAGAAGCCACCACCACACAGTTTATAAAACTACAAGAAGCCACAATCACACAGTTTATAAAACTACAAGAAGCCACCATCACACAGTTTATAAAACTACAAGAAGCCACCATCACACAGTTTATAAAACTACAAGAAGCCACCACCACACAGTTTATAAAACTACAAGAAGCCACCACCACACAGTTTATAAAACTACAGGAAGCCACCATCACACAGTTTATAAAACTACAAGAAGCCACCACCACACAGTTTATAAAACTACAAGAAGCCACCATCACACAGTTTATAAAACTACAAGAAGCCACCACCACACAGTTTATAAAACTACAAGAAGCCACAATCAAAGAGTTTATAAAACTACAAGAAGCCACCATCACACAGTTTATAAAACTACAAGAAGCCACCACCACACAGTTTATAAAACTACAAGAAGCCACCATCACACAGTTTATAAAACTACAAGAAGCCACCATCACACAGTTTATAAAACTACAAGAAGCCACCACCACACAGTTTATAAAACTACAAGAAGCCACCACCACACAGTTTATAAAACTACAGGAAGCCACCATCACACAGTTTATAAAACTACAAGAAGCCACCATCACACAGTTTATAAAACTACAAGAAGCCACCACCACACGGTTTATAAAACTACAAGAAGCCACCATCACACAGTTTATAAAACTACAAGAAGCCACCATCACACAGTTTATAAAACTACAAGAAGCCACCACCACACAGTTTATAAAACTACAAGAAGCCACCACCACACAGTTTATAAAACTACAAGAAGCCACAATCACACAGTTTATAAAACTACAAGAAGCCACCATCACACAGTTTATAAAACTACAAGAAGCCACCATCACACAGTTTATAAAACTACAAGAAGCCACCACCACACAGTTTATAAAACTACAAGAAGCCACCACCACACAGTTTATAAAACTACAAGAAGCCACCACCACACAGTTTATAAAACTACAAGAAGCCACCATCACACAGTTTATAAAACTACAAGAAGCCACCATCACACAGTTTATAAAACTACAAGAAGCCACCACCACACAGTTTATAAAACTACAAGAAGCCACCACCACACAGTTTATAAAACTACAAGAAGCCAGCATCACACAGTTTATAAAACTACAAGAAGCCACCATCACACAGTTTATAAAACTACAAGAAGCCTCCATCACAGAGTTTGTCCAGAGGAGAACGGAGTATATGGAACTGGGTTTATTTAGTGAAACACAACAATATTAAAATACTAACTGTTGTGTGGTATCGAAGTTTGCTTTAGTTTCATTTGTAGTTTATAATACATGGTCTCCTCATCATAGTTAATCCAGAGGGATTAGAAGAGGATTAGGACTACATGAAGCTGGTATTTTTTTGTGTCATTTAGAAATAGTTGTTGTTAAAGGTTTTCATATTGAAGAATTTTGTGCAACACTACGATGATAAAATACAAACTGTTGTATGCTATTTATGTATGTATATTAGGGAAATAATATGTATTTAATTAAAACAGTGATTTAAATAATTATTAATCCCTCAAAAGTATCGATAATTGGTACCATTAAGTACCGGTATCGATTCACAGGTACCGGGATTTGGTACCGTAACAATTCGAA